CTAGAACCTGTAAACAAGGTGATGGTTATTTACGTATTGCTTTGTGCCTGTCGGGCACTGCATCTGCGTGTAGTTCATAGATGAAACAAGTTAGAAACTTTATAAATTGTTAAATTGTGATGCGGTAGTTGGTCCAGAGTGATGGAGGGTGGGGTGGTCACAGGTCACGAAAGGTCAGGAACGCTTAGCGGACACCCCTACCCCCCTGTCCTGTTGGGTCATGTGTTGACCTTCCCCAACTCCCCTTTCGTGGGGTGCCTCGTTGGCTACCTTCCCCCATTCTCCCCGTGTGTGTTGGGTGGGGGAGGGTGCATTGTGGGTTAGCTACCCCCCTCCCCTCACGCTCATGTTTGTGTTCTCTCTTGGGTTAACCCTCGTTCAGCATGTATGTATCTCATGTTTAGTGTGGTTATCTAGTGGGTAGTGCGTATAGCGCATGTATCCAGTTGGTGGTGCATGTGTTGTGTACGAGGTCGAGGTGCAGGGTACTTCCTACACCAGACGTGTCAAGTGACAAGCACCCCACTCCATGTGTGTGTCCCCCTTATACGACTAGTCAGTCAACCTTTTCTCTTACAAAGAACGGCACATTCCGCTCGTGTGCGTTACCTAAGGCCAAATATTGTCATTCTTGAAAATGGAAGCGGCTCACGAAAGTGTCGTACTGTCCCATTTTCTGTTTTGGGTCCTCTGGTAGGTTACGAGAGGACACTTAGGAGGACGGACTGAGTCTGTCAGCACACTTGCTCACACAGCAGGTTCGGCGTTCAACGATCCACAATTGCGCCTTCACCGACACTACCTAGAGGACCTCCTCTCTGAGGCTCTTGACATGTCAGGTCCTGGTCCCTTCTCTTCGCCGCATAGGGCCCTCCTTCAGGTCTGTAAATATTCAGGCCTCTGTTGAAGAGGAGTCCCATTTTTTGCAATACCTAAACATAAACTTTCTCGACTTCACTAGCCAAGTAGACAGATGACCGTCGTTCTCATTGTGAAGTTCTCTCCTGTACTCTCAGCACCAGCACCACATGTACTCCATGTGCCTTCCTGTACTCTCAGCACCACATGTACTCCATGTGCCTTCCTGTACTCTCAGCACCAGCACCACATGTACTCCATGTGCCTTCCTGTACTCTCAGCACCAGCACCACATGTACTCCATGTCCCTTCCTGTACTCTCAGCACCACATGTACTCCATGTCCCTTCCTGTACTCTCAGCACCTACTTCCCTTCATGTAATAAACAGTAACTTCCCTTCCCTTCCCCTTTGTATTGGTTGTGCCGTATTTTCACCGTTTTGTCTCATTTTGTAATCTCAATGGGAATTTGTACAACGAAATTAAAGGCTTGGCAGTGTTTTATGAATATATATATTTGTTACATGTAATATTACACCATAAATAAGCAACAAAAGAACAAAATTAGAACACGTTTGGGTTTTCTCATTTTAGTTAAAATGACAAACCATATACAGTTTGTTCTCGAGGCATAATAATTGATCTTGGACTTGAATGGTATAGACCGTAATTAACAACGGTGGTTAAGTTCCAAACCTCTCCTCTCTCCACCCAACTACAGTTAAGCCTCTTGGTTGTAGACAAATTGTCCATGGTTATGAAGGCAGTTCACATTTTTGATAGGTGATTAGTAATTCCCACAGGATAGAATCTCATTCCACAACCTCTAGAGATGATCTAAATAACATCAAAAGCCAGTTACACACACACACCAAGTATGATATAACATACGACTTCTCATGTATAGGTCGTCCTCCACTCGCTTCCTCTGTCTTCACCACCAGTGGTGCATGGGGACGAGGTAGTCAAATCTGGCATGAACTTTCCCTAGAGTTTCGTTTCGTTTTTCGAACCCTCGCGATTCAATCTTTAAAAATCATCATATTGTGCTTTAGGCTTTAGCTCACCAAATCGCTAGCACTTTGTTTATTACCTCTGTAATTCTCTCTAAACATTAAATCTGTATAACACCCTCTCAATGTGTTTGTTCACTTGCAATGTAATGTTATACCATTCAGCAAAATTTTTAAGAGATTAACTAAAAAGACTCTGCTTAACATGTTATTGACTCCGGAGTTTGATGTCTTTATTAGCAATAAACGAAGGTCCAAGGTATTTAAGGACTGTCACCAATACATTTTTTGGTTTATGAGGAGGAGCATAGGTGGTAATTTGTGTAGTTTACCTTGAAAAGCTTCATAGAAAACACTGACCTTACCTAACCTTCTTAGTATGTTAAGATAATTGTAATTACGAAGCAATAAGATGCTTATTACTTAACTTATTATAGGTATAGGTTAAGTAATAATTGTAATTACGAAGCAATAAGATGCTTATCTTAACATACTAAGAAGGATAGGTAAGGTCAGTGTTTTCTATGAAGCTTTTCAAGGTAAACTAGTATGTTTAGTATGTCTCACATGCACGTATTAAACAAGTCAATATTGACTGTAAGAAAGTGCGAGAATGGGTTGGTCAATTGGTACCATCAGACATTACACCCTCACCAGAACTGCAATCTTTTGGTGTATACTGACGTTCTTGGTCTAGGATGCAGTTTGTAAAAATAATAATAGCCCCTAGTAAACGTCTCAAAATGTGAGAGATGTGTACTGTATGGAGAGATGGCGCAAGAGAGACACATACACCCAGGGAAAGGAAACGTCTCCCAGAGTTGTAGCAAAAGGAAACATAGGGAAAATGTAGTATTGAGTGGTATGACAAAATTAAAAGCAAAAAGCAAAGTTTGGCCTAGAATAAGGATCTCTGACCTCATTCAATACGAGGCAGGTGACTGAGGTTTGTTGTGGATCGTAAGAATTAGGGTTGTTCACTCTTTAACAAAAGATCACTTCTTGTTTTCCTTATTTTCATTTTTTAAGTGATAATGTAATTTTGTTTTCCCTAACTCTCCTGGGTGGTTTATCCAGGTTTGGGTACATTAAATTCCGAATCTCCTCATAACTTGTAGAGAGAGCCATATTCTTCTCCTGGACCTGGATTCATAAAGCAGTTACGCAAGCACTTACGAACGTGTACATCTTTCCTCAATCTTTGACGGCTTTGGTTACATTTATTAAACAGTTTACACGTATGAAAATTTCGCAATCGATTGTTATTGTTAAAAACATCCTCCTGGTGCTTCGGAGCTCATTAATTGTTTAATAATTGTAAACAAAGCCACCAAAGATTGTGGAAAGATGTACAAGTTCGTAAGCGCTTGCGTAACTGGTTTCTGAATCTGGGTCCTGGCTTCTGGTAGGTCATAGTGGGTCTCTTAGACCTGGCACGAGCCTTACACTTAACAGTACCAACTCGTACACACCGGGTAACTCTTGAAGGGCTTTCAGAAGAAAAACGAATAATTGTCCCAGGGCACGAGAATAGTTTTTCAACTGATTTCACTCCTTAATGGAAAGTAGTTTGACCTAACCTGCATGTACTAATATGTGCTCATTTTTGTGTGTTTGTGTATCCAGTTCAGTAATGTGAAACTGGAAAATTTATTCAGTACTGTAGTCCCTGTAAGATTACCTCTGAACAATTTCAGTAGTACTGTACTCTACGTCTTGTATCCTGGCCTGAATTGAGACCATAATGTAATATGCAACTCTCCCACACTATCACGATGCCATGAACAGGTATGAGTACCTAGGATGAGATGTCTTGTGAATGTGGTTTCCTGCTGTATGGGGTTGGGGGAGGGTATGAGTATGCTCACACCATACACAAGTGTTCTGCATTGAGCAATCTTTCTAAATTAAATAACTCTTGTCTGTCAATTGCATATTAATGAAGCAGCACACACTTAAAAGAATAGTTCATAAGTATTGTATATACATGTTTGAGTTGGTTCAGTTCAGTAGATGATTGTGAAGGAGTACATAGAATAGAATAATCAAAATTTATCGAACAACTAAATGCCTCGAATTATTTAAATATCCAAATTGAAGATAATGCTACTGTATTTGCAGTTTATGTAATAAACAATAGTTTGTTTCCTTTATGAAATACAGTAATGATGTACCGTATACACGATCACAATGCCATTCATACAGCTTTTTGCCATATTGGTGAATTCTGCACATACAGTACTTTCTGTTGACCAGACCACACACTAGAAGGTGAAGGGACGACGACGTTTCGGTCCATCCTGGACCATTCTCAAGTCGATCGACTTGAGAATGGTCCAGGACAGACAGAAACGTCGTCGTCCCTTCACTTTCTAGTGTGTAGTCTGGTCAACATAATTTAACCACATTATTGTGACTATCGCCTGCATACAGTACTTTCATTGGCCTCCTTGATGGTCAGTTCTTATGGCCAGCCCGTAGTATGGACACAAACTTCCCAAATCCATATTTTCACCATTGGAAGCATAGTCATGTGATGCATGCTTGCCATAACGAAATTGTATTTTCCCGCTTGTGATGAAGCTTCCTCCGCATCCGTCTCGCGGCCTTACCCCATGTTGGCATTACTGCTTCGAAGAATCTCCTCCTCTGTTGCCATACCATAACCTGAATCATTACATGCCGCCTGTTAAATAAAAATGATTAAATTTGTATTAACCAAGTTTGATTAGTTTGTGGGGGTTAACAACATCATGTGTACGTGATGTAAAGAAACCTGTGGTTGCATGACATTAGTGCATGGGGTCCATCAGGATACCTGGTGATAGTGCAGCAGTTGGGGGGGACTACGGGGGGGGGGGGGGGGGGGGAGAGGGAACCTTTGTATCCTCCACCTTACTTGCAGTTCTAAAAAAAAAAAAATCACACCATTGTCACTTTTAGTTTATTAGGTATTATTGCTTTAACCACTTTACTAGTCCATTATATTAAATGTTTGTTTCCTAATGTGCAAAGACACACCTGTGTTTAATTTTTATTGTTAATAATTATGTTACTGTTTGACAACACTGTATTTCAGTCGTGTTGATAATCTTATTGATAAATGTTTTCTTTTTCCTGACTAAACAGAAGATGTCGGTAAGGTTTATCGCACACATTATTTGCCTGTTCCTCTTCTCTTGAATTATAAGGCACCTCATCAATACTTCGGAAATTTGAATAGAGTATATATATAAGAATGCATGTATTGCGATGCACATAATATTAAGTTTCGATCGCCGGACATCTTGTGAAGCGGCAGCCGGTTGTACTTTATATATACTGTATATCTGAATATATATTATAACGGTATACTACCTAATTTAAAGTGTTATACCCCCCCCTGCTAAACAGGCGCTCATGAGTTAGATTAAACAGCTGGTGAGTAGTGGTATGAAACAACTGTGATATATTCCTATAACTCTTATTGATGACGGTGCATTATATTAGTCGGACACGTACTATCCGAGTCTTGCCTGCTTGTGTTAGTGCCACATCCATTACAGACTCGTTTGTGGAACTAATATTTGTTCAACCTTACAGCCGAATTGGTGAAATGTTGTAGTGTAGCTCACTTTGATGAGTACCGTGTCCAACCACTTGGACTGGTCAGTTCTGTGGCAACCTTATGTCTTGCTGGTTGGTTTTTGATTCCTGGCAATCCAAGTGGTTAGGTACTGTTCTTTCCCTCTGCCCTCGTAACCCTGCCATGTGCTGTCCAGTCGTACTGGCTAAGCACTTTCTCCTGATAATTGTGCATACTTGCTATATATGGTTTTATTTAATTTGATACCCTCTGTTATACTTGGGTCTTTTCTCGGCCTTATATTGACCTCTTAACCCATTCAGCTTGGCCTAAATGTAATTTTTACCGATCTACCGAATTAGGCTAACATTTCTGGCTCGGTATCTTGATATTTACCATAGTGTAAAAGCTAATAATTAGTTTGTGCAAATTATTTTAGTTGGGAGATATTAAAACTGAAAGCATAAGCTATAACGGGTCAGCATCCACTCGCGAGTGGTATACAGAATGTGCTAAAGTGTGCCAAATATAGTTTCTTGCTAGCTTGAATGATTTTTAAAATCTCTCATTGTGGAAAATTTTAATCGGCTAGAGATTGATTTTTGTTTGCTATAAATACATTTTTAATAAATATAATACAGTATGTAAACACTTGATTGGGGGTACTGTATCATGATTAATTATTAAGCTATTGCATAATAACATTCGATTCCTTTATAGATGGGGTTAGTTGCTATACTGTTTTGTTTGCGATAGTGAGAAACACGGTAATGTGTGTGACTTTTTCCTGATAAGGTGTTAATTTTCCAGAAGATTGGTATATGTAACTCGAGAGGTAGTGTTTTTCTAATGAATATGCCACAGGCTAAATAAGGGTGACATTTGTACTGACAGTACTGTACTTCCATGCACAGTACTGTATAGCATTATGGGCTAGTGTATGTCGACCAATGTCAGTCAAATTGAAATACCCAGAATCGACAAAAAAGTTCAGTATCGCATCTCCCTTGCATATCTGGCAAGAGGTACTGTACTCTGTATTTTATGCAAAATTTTATTTGCCAGATATTGGAATTGTTTCAGGGTTAGTTGCCAGGCTGCCTTTGGTAGTGTGGGGGAGGGGAGGGCAGTCTTACTGCAAGAAGATAGAATAAAAATGTATAATTTTTATGCATAGAATACAATGTATAATTAAGTATTAACAGAACGTTGACTTGCTTACAGCTCTTGGTGTTTAAACACACGTCATCATTTGTTTTGTACTCATTGTGTTTTTTTCTTAATTGGGTTTCGGCACAACATTTTCAAAGTGCTGTACAGTTTTGTGTATATAGTAATCATAAGGTGTCAAAGTTTTACCATCCAGTAAGTGGTTGCTTCATTTATTCATTATGTCTTGCACTTTTGAAATATGTTTTGTTGTGTACATTATAGTCATATCCGCGTCTTGTGTGGAATGGGAGCTGTATTTACGTGGTTCTTGCCGAACCGTAGGAAATGGTTTTAATGCCTAATCTTCACGGCCCAAAAGCAGGCTTAGTGTTCACTGGCTCCGCCAAGCTAGGACTGTTCATTACTGCTAAATTGAATTTGTTAATTTTGTGTTAGAAGAGTTCTTGGGGACTTTAATGTTACTTTTTTTTAATTGGCGAGATGCAGGGGTTTAATTATTAGACTAATTTTAAATATTTTACTTAAAGAACTGAACGGCAACTGCAGTGCATTTCATGGCATGTTATAATACAGAATTTTAGCAGTTCAAATCACATAGTGCCATATTATCCTTTACACTGTTATAGACGTTTCACAAGCCTAGTTTCTCTTTCATTAGTAATGCCCTAAAGATTAATGATTTAATGTTTGATACTGCATTACATATTTGGGTCACAAGTGTATAATTTACATGTTCATAATAAACTATGAATTGTGGCCATAACTTCTGGGGTGCTTCCTAATTATTTTAATATATATGTGCCATATTGTTTTCTTATTCTGTGACTAGCTTCTGTAAACTTAAGGTTGATGGGTTGGGGGAGGTTTGTTTATTTAGCTGCAGGCTTGTCTTGGCAAAATGAACTTGGTGCTCGCCTAGTTGTGCTTGCGGGGGTTGAGCTCTGGCTCTTTGGTCCCGCTTCTCGGCTGTCAATTGACTGGTGTACAGATTCCTGAGCAGATGTGGGTGGGATGGTACAGGTGAACTTGGTGGGAAAGTGCAGAGTATAGTAGGTGCACTTCATGGGGGGGGGAGTGCAGAGTACAGTAGGTGCACTTCATGGGGGGGGGGGGGGGGAGTGCAGAATACAGTAGGTACACTTGGTGTGACAGCATGTGTTCAGGCACACTTAATGTGAATGTGAGGTGTATTTGGTGTGACAGCGAGTGGTGGTGCAGATGCATTTGAGGTGTTTGTGTGTTGGTGGGGAAGAGGTGGCTAGGTACAGGTAAACATGGGGGGGGGGGGGGGGGGCAAGGTACATTTGGGGAGAAATGTGATTGTTGTTAATGGTGACCTTTTGTCACATTCTAGGACACAATAGACTGAAACTCAAAGAATAACACATTTTAAGTTTGATACAAAAGTTCTTAATTTATATATACAGTACAATACTGTATTTATAGCAGAGATGTGCTGACCCTGGCATTGCTTACACATAGCATTCCGGCCTGTTTCATTGTAAAGTCATAATGCAGTATAAAGCATAGTAATTATAGACTTCATAACTGGCAAAAACTATAAGGCTAATTTTAATTGTTGCATTAATGAGGCCACGCTACTGAATAGTAATTACAGTAGCTTGAAATTATAATTTCCAAACGTGTCTCTTCCATTATAATGTAATAAAATGTTTGTCAGACATTAAATGTCATTGCCAGCTTTGTCAATAGCCTTCAAAGTTCATATTCCACAATACTAAAAAGGGTCTGACGGCTGAGTGGATAGCACTCTTGATTCGTAGTCCTAAGGTTCAGGGCTCGATCCCTGGCAGAGGCGGAAACAAATGGGCAGAGTTTCTTTAGTCCTCATGCGCCTGTTCACCTAGAAGTAAATAGGTATCTGGGAGTTAGACAGCTGTTACGGGCTGCTTCCTAAGGGGTGTGTGACAAAAAAAAAAAGAGGCCTGGTCGAGGACCGGGCCGCGGGGACGCTAAGCCCGAAATCGTCTCAAGATAAGATACTGTGTATTGGTTTTTAAGTTTCGTTAAACACTTTCACTGAAACGTGCAGCTGTGGTTGGGTAACAGGTGTGAGGTGCGGCTATGATTAGGTGGCGGGTCAATCGCCACACATGTGCAGCTATGGTTGCAATCAACCATAGCCAAACAAGCCATTTCACTATGATGGGGGGGGGGGAGGTTTTACAGAACGCATCAAAAAGTTTCAGCCTCCTGAAATGTTCCTTCAGAAATCTGTCCTTCAGAATATCAGGCCTAGGTCGGTGCCGGTTGGCCGAGCGGACAGCACGCTGGACTTGTGATGCTGTGGTCCCAGGTTCGATCCCAGGCGGCGGGGAGAAACAATGGGCAGTGTTTTTTTTCACCCTATGCCCCTGCTACCTAGCAGTAAAATAGGTACCTGGGTGTTAGCTGTCACGGGCTGCTTCCTGGGGGGGTGGAGGCCTGGTCGAGGACCGGGCCGCGGGGGACTAAAGCCCTGAAATCATCTCAAGATAACCTCAAGATAGGTAGCTGCAGCCTTTTGGCAATGATGAAAACATTGCCTAATGTGGTAGAAACACAGAACCCTTGTTTCAAATTGTCTCATTATGAGTACTGTACTGTGATTGTTAATGATAAATCTGGAAAGATTTTTTAAGAGATCACTGGAATTTTTATGAAGATATTTTGTTTTTTTACAAATGCTAACCGCGAGTGTACATGGACACCACTTCCGTATTTTGCTACGAGTTCATTTTTCATCTCTATCATGGTTCTAATTATTTTCTTTTTAGTTTAGCTCTTATCACAAACTTTGTTAGGTGGCATGGTGACTTATTTCTGCAAAGAATGTTAAAAAATGGGGGAACTAGTTACCCTGCCATAGTACACAATAAAGGTGAAGAAAAGACCCAATATAATGACCTTAACAATACGACCTCGATAATAAAGGTAATGATGAAAGTGATGGTTTCGTTAGTAACGTTAGTGTTAATAATAACAGGCGTTGTGGTGGTTGCGGAGATTAAAAATGGTAATGTGGTTAGAGGTAGCGGTGGTAACATGGATAATCACAATAACACCACTAATGTTGGTAATGTGGTTTGGGATAAATTATTTAGATTGCAATTTATCTCGTGTTGGAGAGACTGTTCGTAATTTATTAAAAGGAGTTGCACAAAAAAAAGAGAGGTACTATGACAAAATTTGATGAGAATAATGCCATTGCTAACCATTGTTAGGCTTTTAATAATAATAGAATTGTATACACCATCTGAAATATCAAAAATAGGCCTAATAGAAGTTTTAAGATTCTGTAAGGGGCCATAAATCTCTTTAGTAGAGTAGATCTGTTTAACTAAAATTATTCTTAAAGAAGCAAAATTAGCTGATCTCGCCAATTTATATAACAATTTATATAATTGATTTATATATCAACACCTTGTGGTGTTGAGAATAGGGATAATGATTCCGTGGGCGCCTGACCATAGTTCCCAGAAATCGGAATAATTGAGCATTCCTCTGAAACTTCGACGTACCTTGGTAAGCCCCTATAGAGCATAATCGCAATGATGTCTAATGATGGATGCCATGTGAGGTGCTCTGCCAGATATATATGAGCCAGCTCCTAGAATCTTATTAAAAACATTGTAAACAGCACCATAAGAAAGGATGTACCTTGAGGTTACCTTGAGGTGCTTCCGGGGCTTAGCGTCCCAGTGGCCCGGTCGTCGACCAGGCCTCCAGGATATAGGTTGCATCTGAAAATTTGGTTTTTAATACTTGCACACACATTGGGTATTTCCTTCACTTTCAATTACAAAAATATGGTCAGTGGAAGTGCAAGAAAATTTACAGAAACATTTAGTGGGGTTGTGAACTGAATGTCTGCTACTGGGAAACTGACTTGTTTGATATGTGTACTTAAGAGTGCTGAGCAAACGGTCGACTTCCGAGCACAAAGTGTTCAAGCGGCAAATTGTTCGCATCCTGCGAACAATTGTTGTGCTTTTACATAGAATTGTACAGTAAGGATGTTGGATGGCATGTTTTGATACCGGCACTAATATAATTTTAGAATAAATGCTCTAATTAGAACCTATTATTGACATATCTACTTCTGGATACTTGGTATAGTTGTTATTAAAAAAATAAACCTTTCCTTGTAATTCTGATATTTAAAATTACTTTTCAGAAAGTTAGTTTAAACAATTTTAGATTTATTCTTGGTGTTTTGTAATAGCATTATAATGATTCTCACTTTGTGTCTCCTCTGATTTCACGTTTCATAACTAACACAGGAACAAGACAACATGGCCACGGTGAGTGAGGCAGAGTTGACGATGCCAGCACCAGTGGCTAGATCTCAAGTCGCATCTTGGTCATTTCCTTCATGCCTGTAGTAGCAATAGACTCCAGTTAATGCTAGTGTACTATTAGTCCAGTATAACCAGGGACTTACTATCACTGAATCACATTATTCCTCAGACGGAATGCAATCATTATGCTGCTGTACTCAAAGCAGTATCCCCCCCAAAAAAAAAATTGCTTTCAATATTACCATTAAGATCATTTTTAGTGATTTAACTTTATGTAAATGGAGTAAATTGTTATGTGAAAGACTTCATAGCATGTGAAGTTTAGTTCTAAGGTTTCAAGCAAGACAGACAACCAATATTCATTTTTTTCTGGCTTGATGTTTGTTGTATTTCTGTACTGTCAAGTCGAGCTACACTTTGGAAGTTTGAAAATGACTATTACCTTGTCATTTAGAAAGCTGTATATTGCAGCTACTCTCAGAATAGCAGTACATACACAAAGGCAACTGCAATTACTATATATTAATAGTATTTACATAGAGATCCGATGCATGACATTTAATAAAAATGTATACCTGAAGTATTAGCTGTTTTCCATTAGGGATTCCTTATGATTTCATATTTACTATATACAGTGTGTGTTTTCTTGAGGTTTCCATTCAGCATCTTAAATGTCTCAATATACTAAAACCTTAGACACTTAAGATTGAGGCAAATTACGTCACTACAAGTGAAATTGATGTAGTCCAATAGCAACAACGTTTATCCCTGTTAAATTGGGACGGGTAGGGATAGTTTTATATCCATTTTTTTTTATCTACCACAAACGTGGCCACACATTTACAATGCTAACCAGCATACAGTATATACATTTTCTTCTGTCCTCCATGGATAGCATTAGAGATCTGTGTAACATATAGTTCAGTTAAAGCCAATGAGGTTACTATCCCTCCTTACCCCACACCATACACCATTACCCCCCGTTTCCCTACTGCCCTACCAGCCATCTCTCCCCGGTCTCCCCCAGCCCCTTTCTTCCCTGACGAATCTTGAGCCCATACGACATTCCCGACCATTCTCATGACCCCCCGAACTGTTGTCCTTCCCAGACGACTCTCCCAACTGCTCATCCTGCTGCTGCATCCACAACCCTCCCAACCGTTACCCCTCCCCCCCTTCCCTTTCCCCTATTGGCCCTCCCAACCATCAGCCCACCCCACAATGACCCTCCCAACCGTTAGACCCCCTCCACAACCCCCCCAACCATCCCTCCCCAATAACACACTCAGCTGCTCCCTCTCACCAATAACCGTTTCTCCTCACTCTTGACAACTTCCCCCCACCCCTTTTCTGATGAGGTCCCTCCCAACTGCTGCCCCCTACCAACCTCTTTGTGGTGTGGTTACAAGGATCGGCATCCCTGCAGTTATTCACCCCCTGATGACCCAAACGATGCTCTCCAAACTACAGTATCATTCCCCACGACCATTCCATCATTCCCCCCCCCCACCTTTGGACGACCCATCCATCCCCCCCTCCCATCCATGGATGACCCTCTCGTGCACCCCCCCCCCCCACCCATGGGCAATCCTCCCATCCATCCCCGCAACTCTTGAATGACCCTCCCAGACCTCCTTAGCTGAAAGTGGTGTGCTCGAGTGCACATGCATATTGTAGTATAAATACAGCTGCATTATAGGTAAACTGATACAGTAGTTTACATACAGTATCCAGAACCAAGTATTAAATAACTGTGCTAGCGAGCGGAGCACAAAAATTAGCTGTTGCTCTAGAAAGGGATTAGCTTGCCTATTTTTATATTTTATGCTGTCCCAACAAATGTTTATTTTATTCATTGAAGTACACAAATGATGCTTTTAGACCTTTAGAATAAATTGTTTAATTAAAATCTAGAGAGAGATTTTGTTCTCATCGAAATTTAATGTTGCATTAAATTGATTAACTCGAGCTATAGAGTTTTAACAAGTTTTCACACCTTTTAAAAGTATACAAGTTTGTTCTTGAATGTGAGAATCGGGTATACCGAGTGCATCCAGCAACATCAGTTCACGCAGCGATGTATGTCGGCTCAATACATGCAAATTTCATGTGCTTTATTTATGTGACTTATTGTGCATTAGTTGGTTGTGTGCGCACCCATGTGGCCTGTGCCCTCTTGGACTGCGCTCACGCTCTAGGGGTCTGTGCACTCACCCTTCCATGTAAACCATACACATACACAACAATTATGTTAACTTTTTATTTACTCATATTGTATGTTAAAATAATAATTTTTTTTATATTAAAGCTTTAAAGTTAATCATAATTAAGAAGCTGCATGAATTGGTCTTTTCATAGCTTATACAGTAACCTTACTTTCTTTAAGGCTCTTGCCATGGCACGTAACACCTTAAGAGCTTATTGTTATCGTTTTAGTAGTTTCGTGTGTGCATGTTTATAACTACCTAATTTAATTACACGAAGAGAGCTGGATTTATGGCCATCCATCTTTCATCAAATTTAGATTTAAAGCTAGCGGTAGTTTTAACGCCTTCAACCGGAAGATTGTTTCATCCTCCAGACGATTACTGTGTGAGAGGTGTGCGTGTGTGAGAGAAGGGTCATCTGGATGTGCTTGTAGGGGCCAAGCATCAGGTCCTGTGTCCCACCTTTGTAAACAGTGCAATTACTGTCCTCTAAGCATCCTTATTTACATTAAACTTGTCTTGCATTAGCTTCAGCCACTTCATGTAAAGCATTGTATTTGCGCAGCACTATTAAATTCTGGAAGTTAGTTTTGGCAGCTGTCACTTATTTCGGTCAGAATGTCTTGTGTTCTTATTCCGCTGTAACTGATTTTGAACGCTGCTTCTTTGTCCCTTTTTGTTAAATCCCCTTAGAAAAGTGTGCGTGTGCACAACTGCACATGCCCGTGTGTGTGTGTGCGCAACTTTGTATGCTTGAATGTGTGTGTACAGTGCTGTACTGACGTACTTGTTCATATGGTACATATATAGACAGTACAGTACAAGAGAATGTGAATAAAACCTGATGCAAACATTCAAGGTAACCACAATGAAAAAGTTTTGGTGCTTTATTGATGTGTTTATCTGAATATTAGTAATGACCTTGCTGCTTGAGATTGTTGTAAATATTGTATGTACTGTACATCACAACAATGTGTACATGTTGTATGTTAGGATATGTATAGATATACGAGTGTATACGGTCATGGACGTGTGCATGTATTTAGGTTCTGGTGGCCTGGCAAACATGCGCACGATTTCTATCTCGTGTCTTCTTAATAACCTGTTTATACTAAATTTAACTTGAATTTCATTCCTTTTTTGCTTGATAATTTGAAAGTTGATGCTTCCATAGTTGTCATCCTCTCAAAGCTAAGTGTTTCTTTAATTAAAGGCATAAATATTTTGTTTTGAATTCATATGGGTTTTCTTAATAATGTTCCCACAATTTGCATGTGCTTAAAATACTGTGTATGCATATTATGTTCATTAAGCAAGTGTTTTATATATAAATCTAAAAGTAAACTAAAAGTGTAATTTTTTAATTGGTTTACATGTAATATGTTTTGCCTTTTCTATAAACCACACGTTTTATTGAAGACATGTACAAGTTGAACGCAGCGGTAAAATGTTAAATTCTGAGCTTTCCCTCGGGGACATCCTTAGGGAAAGATCGTACTATTCCTTGGTTAGTTAGTTGGATGAAGAGGGTTGGTAGACACTGAAAAGTTCCCTGCCGCACTAGTGCACCATCTTTTATAGGGCGGGCTAGTGCTGGGGAGAGACTGGAGAATAATCAATTCATTCCAATCCAGAATGCAGCCAGAAAGTGAATTCATATCAAATTTGAGTAAGTGCTACTTGGCATCTCATGGACCATCAGTCAGTACCCTTGTTGTCTATTAAGTAACCCATTCAGTTGCTCCACTACCCACGTCTTGTCATTTGATGGCATTGCTAACACCCCCAGTAAAGTCTCCAGACCCAAACTCGTCAGTTTTCCTTGTTGGCTCCGTTGGCTTGATGTAACTGCAGTACAGTAATCATTAAATACTGAATATTTCTTGTGTTGATGAGCTTTTGGTGTGTGTGAACTTGTAACTGCGCATCTTCAGTGCCTGGTTTGTTCATGTATTGCACATTCATGCTGTGCACGTTTTATTCAATTTAACAAATTGCATAATTTTTGGAAATCAAGGGGGTACATACGGCTGCAACTTCCTCACTGCTGCTTTATCCCCAGGTTACTCATGTGGGTATAGAGTGGCTTTCCCACTACAGCTGGAACCCAGGGGCTCCCTTAGTGCCCTCTTCTGGTATTGGCTTGGGCGGGTTTGGCTGTCGTCCTTGACTTGGCTCGCAAGTCTGCCATTCTTTTGGCATAGGGGCATAGACCCTTTTGTGGTTTTCTTTTGACTACTTAGGGTTTGGGTTTCAGGGCAGATAGCACACATCTCCAGGCTGGGGTGTGTGTGTCCTACAGTTCAGTTAGAGTATGATGTACAGGTATGTTGACCAGACCACACACTAGAAATTGAAGGGACGACGACGTTTCGGTCCGTCCTGGACCATTCTCAAGTCGATTGTCTTGAGAATCCAATCGACTTGACTTGAGAATCGACAATCGACTTGAGAATGGTCCAGGACGGACCGAAACGTCGTCGTTCCTTCAATTTCTAGTGTGTGGTCTGGTCAACATACTTCAGCCACGTTATTGTGACTCATCGCCTGCATGTACAGGTATCCTTTTTTTTTGTTCTGCTCTTTGTGTAGTTTTGGATTCTATCAGTTTTTCCCTTTGATGCAAGGTGGAGGCAAGGACTGTGATTGGATCCTTATAGGGATCTGCATTCTGGGTTGGATTTGAGGACTGTGATTGGATCCTTATAAGGATCCGCATTCTGGGATGGATTTAAGGACTGTGATCAGACCTTTGCATCTGATCTGAACCTGGCTCATTTAGAGTTTGCATATAAATTTGGTTTCTGGCTGTAGCCCGGTGAAATGTTTAGCTAGGTTCCTTGAATAGGATGCTGGATGCCCCTAATTCTATCTTGATGTTTGTGGCTGGCAGCTCCTTGTCCAGATTTTCATCTTGTCATAACTTGTGGCTACAAATTTTCCGGCATACACTCACCTGGTGGATGTCAAGTTCCCTTTCTCTCAGTTTTTGTATTCTTTTAAAGCTTAAACTGATACAGTACTGTATGAGTGGCTCACCAGGGAAGGGGGCAGCAGTGTTACTAGTGTTTGATTCTGTACTGGCAGTGGCTGTTATTCTACCAATGTTTGTGCTATTCCTTTGGGATTCATGTGAGAGTTTTGCCATGTGTTTAGCTTGCAGTCTGGTTGACTCCACCCCTGTCCCTTCTCTACCCTCACTCTCCTCCATCCAGATGGCAAGTACAGCAGGCATTCAGCGAATTAAAAATATTCATTTTAGCCAGATAAACCAATGCTGAAATTGTTGAAAGGAAGATAGTGATGTGATAGGTTTTCTTCCCAGACTCTTACCTTTGTGTAGTGCCTGTGAAGTTGTATTTTCCAGTGTAAGTGCTGTTCCTGCTGCCTCTCTTGACTTGCTCCAACAGGATCGGCTTACCTTAGGACTTGTTAGCACTTGTACCTCTTGCCCATCCTTCTAAATAATTGGTGTTTGTGATTCACCAGGTGAATTTGAGGGAATCTTGGCTCATAGCCCTGGATCTTCAGGGGGTGTTCCTATCCACCTGAAGTTCAGGGACTGGTTGAGGTTCGGATCTCTCGCCAACCATTTTCCACGAGCATATGATTATTCAGAAGTTTGCCGAATTAAAGATGTTGTTTTTGTTATGTCCTGTGCTGGAATCAGGATGTCATTTGAGCTCAAAATCCTTGGGGGTTTTAGAGATCAAAATTATTGTTTGCCTTCAAGTATTTTTCCAATCTCCACCTGCTCTCCCATGCATAACCTTGTGCAGTTTCCCTCTGTGACCATCCTTCAGTGGAGTTGGATGCCATGGATTGCAGCTTACTGTTTTTTTTTTTTTTGGCTGCTTTTCCTCCTGCAGCTTCTGTCATCTCAACTGCAGCCCAGTTGTCAGTCATATTTACATTTTATGACTTCTGCTCATACTTGCCTTAGCAACAATGTGTGATAAAGGTTGAATAGTATACTTGGGCTCTTTCAGTCCCTCTTTTCTTTTCCTTACTTATTTCTTTTTTTTTTTTTAGACGGAAAGCCAGGCATAATGTAACGAGATTGGGGTCTGGGTTTGTTTTGGGTGTACTGTATAGTAGTGAAGAAGAGGTTGTTGACCAGACCACACCTTCTAGTGTGTGGTCTGGTCAACATACTTTAGCCATGTTATTGTGACTCCTCTCCTGCAAGTGAAGAAGAGGCTTTGTTGGCTATTGATATGAAGTGCTACTTGTTGTTACTTGTGATCCCAAGTAGTGTTTGGCAACACATTTAAAGCTTTTAAAGAAGTGTACTCTCGTCCTGCATTCTGGGTTGGATTTAATATTCCCCAGTGTCTCCCGTTAGTTCTAGTATGACCGAGAATTGACGGCTCATAAAGTTAACAGCCACACTGATGTAGAATGTGTGTTTGCCCTGACACTCCCAAATCGTAGCCATTGATCTGTAGGATCTTGCCTTGGGGAGCAAGAAAGTGTACTGCTCGGAAAAGTGCTTTTGATTTGTTCTTAAAATAAACAAAAATTAACTTTTTTTCATTAAACTGGGTTTATGTTTACACAAGGGAGTCTTGTCTATGCACAAGCAAGTATTTGTTTCTGCAACTATAATTAGATGCTGGAAATTGATTGTTAGCAGCATACACCAAAAGAGTGGAAGCAAGTTGGTCGAGACGGAATCAAGGCCAGGGTAAACTTAAATCACAGTGCAGATGTAACCGTGTTGTGTATTTGCAGGAGACGATGGGTGACGGGGCAATAGAACCCAGGTCGGATCTGCAGGAGCTGCAGTACAAGGCGAGCCAGCAGACAGATGAAACCTTGGAGTCGACGCGGCGGATGCTGTCACTATGCGAAGAGGTATGTGCACGTGCCAACTTAATCTGGACTGCTCATGCCATTTTGGTAAAGCATCAACCACTACATAATTTGCAGTCATGAGATGATTATTTTGCATTAACAAATTTGTTGCTTTTTTTGAACTGCAGAAAATAATAGTAGAGCAGTAGAACTACAGTATTAGATGTAAATCTGTAACATTACAGTCAAGTTTTAATACCCTAGGCCTGGTCATCTGAAAATAAAGTTGGCTCATGGCAGAGATTTCTATAAGTCGCCAGATTCCATTCTCGCTCTTATGGGCCCCTGTGCAACCATGTAATTTTGTATTTTAAATACAGTATTGCCATTTGATGTAACAGGACAGAAGGGATGATTTTGCATTACAATACTGTACTGATTTAGGAAATTCTGTATACTGTATTGCCTGTTTTATCACTAATTTGATAGAGGCACTTGGTCTTTAGCGGGAAGATCATACATCTTTATTTTAAAGTATATTATGCTGTTTGCACTGCTATTTAACAAGTATAGCACTGCTATAATAGGATTATTTACAGAAGGATTTAGCATGAATGGAATTTCGAGTTTCATTGAGAAATGGAATGGTTAATGTCTGTTAATCAAGACTTGACTGTACTGTACTGTACACAGTTTGTGGGGAAAATATAACATTTTAGTTGTGGCATTTGACATGGTCGTAATATAATTTTAATTTCATATTCTCAAATCATTGTTTACCTTTGATCAAATTGTTGACATTGTCAAGAAACTAGGAATAATTGTGCACTAGCTTTAAATACTTAAGTTATTTAGTTCTGTAGTATTAATCACTAATGCTGTAGATACTGTAATACAGTATACAGTAATTCAGTCCTCCAACATCAATGTTTCAAAGTCGATAAGTTTCCAAATCGTGGGTGATTTCTAGAGGGATATGACAGTAGGTACAGTATTATTATTTCTGTAAATTCGTTAATAATCTACTCTACAATATGAAATATGGTGACGTAGAAGTCAATGTTTTGCATTTAAGTAATGGGGGAAATTTAATAAATAGCATTTTTAGATAAATTATTTGTCCTGAAGCTCTAATGTAAACAAGTTTGCTGATCTTGTACAATAATTAAGAAAGTGGTGACATTTCTCGTGTTCATCACACTGTAACACTTAACCACTGTACTGCGCAGTGTGTCTTGAGGCACTCTTGAGAGTTGTGCTATTTTTTTTAATTAGGCTATATTTTAATGTTTTTTTAATGTTTCCATTTTCACTGTTTTGAAATGAAAATGGTTGAGCTTGGAAACATTTTGACGTTAACTTCACATGAACATTTTTGAAAACGACGACAAAATGTCCTTAATAATTGCACTATGAAGTTTGTGCCGAAACCAGGTGAGCAGTGAGGTGGTTAAGGTATGATGGGACTTGAATGTTGGTGCTATATTCTACCCTGAGAGAAAATCCAACTCTACAAGAGTAATTGGAATATATTCCATCAAATAGTAACTTACATACTTTATATAAAGTTAACAAGAGAAGCCATGTGCTGCAAGTGTTAAAATATCATCTTGGCCTACACGTGAGAAATGTTAAATACTTTAATGCAAGAAAATATATTTAATTCATTTAAACTTTTAAAATAGCTCCATGTAGCATAGAAATTTAGTTCTATAATTAATCAATTTAAAAAAAATATAGTTGGAAAGTTACCATACAGTAGCACTTAATATATACATTCATGTAAATACAATTGTAATTAATTGCAGTTACTAAATGCTATCTTTAAGTAGTGTATATCAGTCATATGAAATTAGTAAAGTTTTGTAAATTGTTAGTTACTGGAGATTATAATGATTCAGGTTCTCTGTACAGAGAGAACATACAGGTGTTCATTCTGTATGTTCACCTGTACAGGTTCTCTGTACAGAGAGAACATACAGGTGTTCATTCTGTATGTTCACCTGTACAGGTTCTCTGTACAGAGAGAACATACAGGTGTTCATTCTGTATGTTCACCTGTACAGGTTCTCTGTACAGAGAACATACAGGTGTTCATTCTGTATGTTCACCTGTACAGGTTCTCTGTACAGAGAGAACATACAGGTGTTCATTCTGTATGTTCACCTGTACAGGTTCTCTGTACAGAGAGAACATACAGGTGTTCATTCTGTATGTTCACCTGTACAGGTTCTCTGTACAGAGAACATACAGGTGTTCATTCTGTATGTTCACCTGTACAGGTTCTCTGTACAGAGAGAACATACAGGTGTTCATTCTGTATGTTCACCTGTACAGGTTCTCTGTACAAGTGGTCATTCAATGATTTTCTTTTAATGTTCCTTGGAAAACACTTGCCATCAGAGATGCCTCATTTGACACTTTTCTCCCCCTTGCTATAACAGTTGAAATTTCAACACCTTTATTACAAATTGTCATTGCCAATAATTCTTTACATGCAAACAGTCAAAGGAAGCTGGTATTCGCACATTGGTTGCCCTAGATGATCAGGGAGGTGAGTATTCAAACTTGAATATTAATTAGACAGATGTATGGCCACGAGTATTTATCAATCTTATCCCCTCATACTTTTTTGTTGTATTTAATCCATTCAACATTTGTGATTCTTTTGCAATAGTACAATCGCTGTTATTTCTCTTTTTTAAAAGTGTGTTTGTAGAGAAGAAATTTTTCTGCATGATTCGATTTTATAATCCAGCTTTAGTCGAGCTCTTTGAGGTGGGATTGTTACCACACGCAAGCTGCTGAAGAATCACACGTGTCAAAGGAGCCGACAGCATTGTGCAGACAAACCTTAGCATGCTACCTTTTACACACATTATTAGTGTTGACCAGACCACACACTAGAAGTTGAAGGGACGACGACGTTTCGCTCCGTCCTGGACCATTCTCAAGTCGATTGTCGACTTGAGAATGGTCCAGGACGGACCGAAGCGTCGTCGTCCCTTCAACTTGTAGTGTGTGGTCTGGTCAACATACTTCAGCCACGTTATTGTGACTCATCGCCTGCACACATTATTAGTTTTTGTTGTCATCTTGCAAACTTGTATGATTCATCTGTGTTTCTTTACTGTATTTTGTTACCACTTTTCTGATATTAACAGGACTCTTGTAGTGTAATGCGCATTGGGGGTTAGAATGTATTCAAAATGCATCACGTCGCCTATGATTAAAATACTATTTTCAGGTCGTGTAAACACACAGTTACCTACATGTAATTACCGGAGTGGGCTTAAAGGAACAGAACTAAGTTTAGTTTCTAATTACCTATGTGGAGTTGCAGGACGAGAGCTACGATCATGGTGTCCCGTCTTCCCAGTGTCATATGATGCTCTGACGGTTTTGGCCTCCACCACCTCACTTGTTCCAACTATCTACCACTCTGTTTACAAGAGTGATCTGTTGAATCCTTGTTTTGGCAGCTTCGCTTCCTTAGTTCGAACCTGTGTTTTGTTCTTAAAATTTGCAGTTTTCAACATATCTTTTAATTTTGTTGATTCTTGCATTGGAATTCATTAGTATGGTTTTGTCCCATGTGAGCAACAGTGCATATTTAGTCGGGTTGGTGTTTGTCTAAAGTTGTTACTATGAACCAAAAATTGACATTTTTATTTTCATCACCTGTATGAAAGAAAAGTCAACTGGTTGATTCAGTTCATGTAAAGTATTTGATGATGTTATCTTGTACCACGCACAAGATAATTTTTGAACTCCTACTTAGGATTTAGTAAGAGTTCTCTGGTCACTAAACTACTACTACACGTTCTAGCACCACTGGCCAAACGTTAAGATATTGGCCGAAAGCTTTCAACTTGATTTTGCTGATCATTAGTCAGGCAGTTACATTTGACTTTGAAAGTAGAGTAGTAAATAATTTTTTACTGTAATTGGCATACAAGATAGATTTAAGTGCAGTGCATTAGTGTGTTGATATTTTAATTTAAAGGAAGCCGGGAGCTGGACTTGTGATCCTGTGGTCCTGGGGTCAATCCCGGGCGCCGGCGAGAAACAATGGGCAGAGTTTCTTTCGCCCTATGCCCCTGTTATCTAGCAGTAAAATAGGTACCTGGGTACCAGCAGCTGTCACAGGCTGCTTCCTGGGGGTGGAGCCCTGGTCGAGGACCGGGCCGCGGGGACACTAAAGCCCCGAAAACATCTCAAGATAACCTCAAGATATGCCAATTGTAAAAATAAAAAAAAAAGGCAGGGAAAAATGTTAAAGTTGGTAGTTTTGTATTTCGCTTGAATCTGGAATTAACGAAGCTGCCCATTTAAAGTACAATATCATTAATTATGATACTATTTAGACATGACTTATTTAAATATTAAAAAAAATTCACATTAATAATAATCGTAGTAGTAATATTTTTATTTAGGTATAAGTACATACTGTATGTACATAGTTACAAGCAGAATGTTTGATTTCTAGATAGAGGTAGTATATACTGCGCCTAAAGCCACTAATACGCACAGCGTTTCGGGCAAGTCTTCATGCAAAATTGTTTCCAGTTTCCATATTGTTGGAAGCACAACTATTTTATTAAGATTAACTTCAGGTAAAATTGGGATGCCTTCCAGTGCCTCGTATAGTCCTCCTCTTTTTGCAGTTAATTGCCTACTTTACTCATAAATACATTACTCTTAAATACTTTCATAATTTTGCATTAGGGAATACAGTACATTATAAAATTAACACAAATTGTGAGGTGCCATATGCAAGAAGTGTTGTGCAGCTTTTGAAAAGACAACAGATGGTTATGGAAGAGTGACGAGGTCAAACATGGGTTGTGGCTGTTGTCCACTGAAAGAGCAACTGAATGTTGTGAATGTTGTCTACTGACATGGTTTAAATTCATGTGTTAAAATTTAAATTGCACAGGTGCTAATTTGCCTCGCCAGAACTCGTGCAGAGGGTGTGTAAGTGTGTGTGTGTAATTTTGCAGCTTTGGTTTATATTTTTTAAATTATTTTTTTTTTACAGAGAAATATATAATAATATCATACTTAGCAGTAGCATTGTTGGACAAAGCTTCTGTCGATTTTGTGCATGTTTGACTGGTGGTGATGCTTGGTGAAGGGAGAGTATTTTGTGTTTTGTTAAGAATGACATCTTATGTCATTGTGCCGTCTTACTCTTGTTCACACAGCATATGGTGTTTGGGTGCCGTGTTGTGTGCGCCGTGTATGAGAGTAGTGTCTGGTGCGGTTTACGCGGACAGGTAGTGTCTTGTAACTTTAAGCCGACACTCCCATCTGTGCCTTACACCAGAGAAGTGTTAATTTTTTACTTTTTCTTATTCTGTAGAGCCAAGATGCTGGTGCCAAAACATTATATATGTTAGGAGAACAAGGGGGTAAGGGATTTAGTTTTTTGTTTTTGTTTGTACAGTATTATTGAGTGAGGCTATTGCATACTAGTGCCTGGCAAATACAGTACTTCTCTTCGCCATTCTAACAAAGCTGAGCCTCCTTGTTGCTCACCATTCTAACAAAGCCCAAAGCTTGCTCTTTATTAGGTGTAAAGTTTTCATGGTGTTCAAGGGTTAATAAGGAGTCAAGTGCACGTCTCTCATGTGCAGCTCATGGGTGCTTGATGCTAATACATATACACAATGTACACCTTTTTTCTAAACTTGCTCATTATAAATAGCCTTGGCCAACTTTGTAGGGTGATGGTGAGGTGGGTTGGGGGTCATTGCTCTTACTAAAAGAGGGTCGAGTCCCACATCCCATGGCAACTCCAAGAGGTCATATCTAGCGAAATATTTTGAGAAAACAAATGGAAAATGTGAGAGATTTAGGAACACCAGCTCCATAACTCACTCCTTTGCCTCGCAGATAATGCACCACACCATCCGAGTTTAATTTCAACTCGCTAAATAATTACTCAGATATTCATGATAGCTGTTTTTGTGATAGACGTTATTGAGTGCCTCATAAATAATCATGCCTCTTAGGCAAAGAATATTTGCCATTACTGCAATAATCAGTTGAGTGAATGCATTATTATTACATTATTGTAATTGCAATAGTTTTGTAAGGAAAAATACAGGTCAATAAATTATACATCAGCGCTAATAATGTCATTGGATATAAAATAAATGCAATGACATGTTAATAGCATTTCATTTGCAAACATATTTACATATAAATACAATAAACATTTACATAAAATAATTTTTTTGTGGGAGCCTCTTATGGCTCCCTGAATCTACCATCTCCAATGTGCCATCAGTCACGAGTTTTATGGCCTACCGGGAACCAAGAGCTAGAACCTGGTCCCCTCAGAGGCACAGGGAGACATGGCATTTATATATAGTTATTTATGCCACCACCGAGGAAGGCACCCAGGGAGTCGGCGAGTCGAAACAAACCACAGCTGGCTGCCTTAGAGACCAGCAGCCTCAAAAATGGCCATAGAACTCCCCCCACACTCGTAAACAATAAAAAATGTCATAAAATTTGCTCTCCCCACATTTGGGGGAGGAGAGGGCAGGCCGTGGCTTACGAGCCAGTCCACCATTAGTTCTCTGTATCTGGTGTCCGGTTTGCCACTAACTCTGGCCCTGATGGGGCCCCCCCCCCCTCCTCCTCATGCTTTTGCCTTGGTGGCTGTTGCTTGCTTGCTTCCTTGTGTGGTGTGAACCAGGGGTTTGGTGCTCTTGGAGCTGCACATGTTCAGGGTTCCTTTCCCTGGGTGCTCCCTAGTGCTGTTCTTGCACTGCCGGGATTTTCTTCCCTGAAGTGTTTGGTATACATTTCTTTAGAGGTCTGCCCCGCTAGTAGTTTCCTTCTCCTTGAGATAAGTCTGGTGTCTTTGGGCTTCTGTCTTTTCCTTGGTTAAAGCATCTTTGCTGGTGGGATGCACTGGGTTTATGGGTGCTGCACTTCAGTACAATGAAGTAGTTTTCCATCCATTTTAGCTAGGCTGGATTAATTTGCATAGCACTTTTAAGAGTACTATCACCATAGTGCCCCAGAGCCAGTGTGCCCTGTTTGGATTGTAACCTTCAGGCCCTGGTAATTCTCCACAGGCTCGATGGCCAGGGATGTTCCTCCCCAAACTCGCTCTCGCTTTATACGAGTTTGAGGGGTGCACATCATCCATGCTACTTAGCGATGTTCCTTGGATCTGCCTCCACCATGGAGGCAGATTCTGGGTATTCTCTACTCTGTTGAGTCGGTGACACCTTTGACCCCAGATCATGCAGGGAGTGTTCATGTCATTGTTCTTCTTGCTATCTATCCTGATGATGCTCTGGCTTATCAGTGACTGCTCTTGGTGTGAGATTTTCTGTGTTACAGCAGTCTAGGGTGTGTGCCCATTTAGATGCTGCCTCACTTGATTTTTAGGGACCCTGGAATTGGAGGTGTTGGTCAACTCGATCTTGGCTTCATCCGCACCTCCCCTTCCTTCCCTATCAGGCATTGTTTGCTCTCTCTCTAGTCCTAGCTCTATGCTTCTGGCACAGAAACGTCTGAGGGTTTTGGGTTCAGGCCAGGGGGGGTTTAACTTGGGATGATGTTGCTTGGGAAGCTCCAGAGGTTGCCCCTTCTGATTCGGGTGCAGAGGCAGTTGAGCCAGCTGGTCCTGCCGAGGCTTCTGGGTATTCTTGCCAACTGGTTGTTTCTCTTAAAGCCTCTTCCCTGGACTCCACCTCTCTGCCCCAGGCAGTGGGCATGGATGATGGTTCTGCCCCAGGACCCTCAACTTCAGTTTCTTGGGTGTGGGGGGAGTATTGAACTGGGGCTGTGGGTCCCCTTTGACCCTTCATGGTTCATTGCGTCTTCCCTTTAAAAAGGGAAGAAGCAAAAGAACCATTTGACATCATTCGTCAAACTGATAGCAGACGGCCACAGCGGCTTGCACGTTGTGGCCTGCCCCCGTCAGCCTCCAAAGGAGGGGGAAGTGTGGAGCGAACTAGTGGGCACTAGTTTTGTTTATGTAGTTTGGGGCCATTTTTGAGGCTGCAGGTCTTGGAAACACCCTCATGAGGCAGGCTCACTAGCTCCCAATCCTCACAGTAGGCAGATGGCAAGTGTTTGTTTCCTTGTTCAGTGATCTTGAACATTTCTTGTGGTAGAGTACTTTATTGCTGTTATTTTCACCTGAATCAATTTTGTGGCAAATTCATTTCTGGTCTATAGACCAGAAATTAAATGAAATTCCACACCCTTGCGAGAGAGTAAGATTCTCGTCCATAGTTTAGGTGGACCTGGTGTATTGGTGGGTTCCTCAGTGTGCTAATGCGTAAGCAGTGGGGAACCACCAAGGTGATGCTCTTTTTATTTTCTTCTCTCTAGTTCAAATGTAGGTTGGAAATTAGGGGAAAGATTCAAACAGCTGTGCATTGAAATTGTGCAGTCTGTTGCATTCATAATAATGTGGTAAGAGCTTGGTTAAGGAAATCGGTACATTCTACGTCCAGTATGTGACATTCTTTATGTACTTCACTGGTGCATAATGGGACATATCATGTGCCACTTAAGAGTGATTTGATTTTTTACTTTATACCTTACACCAGTAGTTGTGTAATTAACATTACTCAATACTGATGGTCATTCAAGTATAGTGTTAATATATTGATGTTCAATATAATCGCTACATGAACAAGTTGCACATTTGCTTGAATCGTCTATGCAAGCAGTTCTGTGCATGATAAATACTGGGCTTAATGAGTGAGTTCGATAGTTACAAATTGGTATTTTCATTAAATGAGGTAAAGATAAAAGTTTATTCCATGACCTATTGTTTAATGTTGTACAAATTATTAAATACGTTTGATGCTGCTTCTATATAGGTCAGTACCTGCATCCCATTCTCTGTAGTGCTTTTGATCGTTAATTTATGCTGTGCATTTGTGAATTCTGAATATTCGTGTATATTTCTAATGGTATTATTATGAGAATCGGCTCAAATTGGGGAAAAAAACAGCATTAAAACGAGCATTGTAGTGTGTGTGTGTGTTTATCCCCCCTACATATAGACATGGAACTTGGCATGGACGAAGCTTTTAGGATTACCAACAATTAATGGATGTCAATAAAGTACTTGAAAATCATAGTCCTGGTGATGGGGGGGGGGTTAATCATTGATTGTAATTAATGGTAATGTTTGGCTTAGTCATTATAGGTTTAGTTGTTAGTGCAGTATTAGATTTTGGTATCATAACTTGAGTCGCCTCCACATAACTTGAGCAACTCCCAGTCGGCTCCACATTTCTTGCAATTTTGTTTTATTGCCAAGTGCATGCTTGCTTTATTGATCCCAGACATGTTGCATGTTTTTTCTCTGCTTTTATTTTAGGGCCAAGATATGGGTATTAAGACATTGAGTAATCTAGATGACCAAGGCAGTAAGTACACATTGTGACGGGTGTTTGTAGCCTAATCTTGAGACACTTGTGGGCTTTGTTACAATGACTCCTCTGCTTATCCTTGCTTCACGATCAAAAGTAAAACTTCAGTGTTTTTACAAATAAACTTGTTACCTGTGAGTGTTTATTGCTTCTCTTTTTAGTGTAATTACAATAAAGACCAGTTCTGATTTTATTTTGATAAACATTATATATAATGTTTTATTTACTGTAGCGGTTTTAATCCTTTTGAGACAATGTATTGTGCACTGTATTTAGAGTAAATGAAATGCATATTATCAAGCAACAATTCATCTTGTTAACTTTGTTGTACTATAGAAAGGAAGTTGCATTTGAACAGTAACGCTTTTTGATGGTTATATTTGTTACTCGGTAAATTAACAAGCTTTATTTTCAGTCTAAATGATTTGTTTAGGCATGGTGTAAAGACGGTTAAATGCATGCTGCTTGATCTGTGCTCTGATGATCCTCAGAACAACTGGACCGCATCGAGGAGGGCATGGACCAGATCAACGCTGATATGAAGGAGGCGGAGAAGAATCTGACTGGAATGGAAAAGTGCTGCGGTCTTTGTGTCTTGCCGTGCAACAAGTGAGTTTGATTGTTCGTTTTTGGTTGTTATTGCATCCGACTTACTTATTCCGAGGGTACTCTACAATATTTAACTTTTTCTTCTTCTTCATATATAAAACACAGTACAGTGTATACAAATAAGCCTTTATATAAAGTCAGTACTTAGATGAACATTGATAACAATAAATATAATAGATTATTAGAAAATAGTACAAATTACTGTGTTCATGAAGAATATCAGGAAATTTTGGACAAATAATTTTAGGAGTCAGCTGACATGCAGAATATGAGCATCACGCAGATCCATTAACAAGTTGACACATTCTCTGATTTTTATTCCAGAACGTAAGTTCTTTCCTTGATTGCGCTCCAAGTTAAGAATCAGGGACTGTGAGAACGGTAACTGTGCAAGGTAATGGCCATCATCAAACGTGAGATTAACATTTCTGGAAATGTCTCACACAATCTTGTTGAAACCAGACATCCTGTTGCAGTTCCTTCTGCTGTAGTTCAGGAGTCAGGAAATCACTGAGCATGGCACATTAGCATTCTGTGACCATTTGTTCGTTCTCCTCCAAGAAGCAGAGTCAAAGGATTAATTTAAGGGACACTGCAGCTTAAACTCTCAACTCTCGTAGAGTTCTCTCATGAACTTGCTAATGGTTAATGATGGCCCATTAAAAAAAAACAAATTTCCTTTGCTGACACCCCCATACTGACAAGTGTGCTTCATCACTCTATCACCAGTTTTGACAGGAGCTCCGGGTTCATATCCATGACTCAAAAAGTTCCATGTATTTGCTTGGACATTGCTTGGTTTGTGGGTATACCAGTTATTCTCCTTGTCAATGGCTATGATGCTACATTATAAGTCTGAGGTTGTGACTATGGACTGTATTCGGAAAGCACATTCTAGAGGATCAATGTACTTGCAACATGTCTGCTTCCAACTTCAATGGCTTCATTAAAATATTTTGGTAGTTAACTTGCACTTATTATGCACTTGCTGAAGACACGGATGTGCATTTGTTAACTGTACCACATTATTCACCGAGTGTAAAGATGCAATACAATGAATACCACAATATGTGTTGATAGTGCAGGTTGGTAGCATCTGTGTTGTGACTATATTGATGAGAGTGTGTGCATCTGCTGAATATGGCCCGATCGACTGCTTTTTGTTTCACTTTTTTCACTCAAATCTTTGCCTTGGTTAATTATCTACAGCCTTTTCAAGTTGCAAAAGACAGTAGATATGGAAACCCATTATTATTTAATGTATTGCTTTTGCCCTGCTATCATATTACTATATATAATATATATATATATATATAAACTCAAATTCCAAAGTTTTGGCTATCTGCTGCTTTTCGTTTCACTCAGATATTAGCATTTTTTTTCACAATCTACAGCATTTTCAAATTGTATCAAGTGTTATGGAACACCCAGTACAGGGGGTGTGGATCATTATGGAATGTGATATATCTCTCATTGCTTGCGACTCAGAGTCCTGCACCCCAACTGACTCGACCTTTACATGCCAATTTCAAACCAGTACTTTTTTCCTTTTCATGAACGAAGACTTTTTTTTTTTTATTAACTTACTGTAGATACTTAAGGCTTGAAATTAGGCGAGGCATGGATTGTTAAGGTTCTAGTGCGTGTAAGAGCTATTGGCACCATTACATAGTTAATAGTGAATACTTATAGTACATATTAGACTATTAGATGAGAGCACTTTCTGCAGATCATCACAGTTTAAAGAAGATGAATCAACCTGGAAAGGAAAGGAGGATGGTGTGGTGAGCTCGCAACCTCAGCGAGTCATGGACGATCGTAATGGATTAGGTGCATCTGGTGGATACATCGGACGGTAATTTACATTTAACAATTGTAAGAGTATTCCTAACTCTCAAAACTATGACAGGCTAGTTTTACTTCTTTTCTTTGCATGTTCATTCCACTAACTTGACTGAAAGTAGTATTGCATGATTCTTTCCCATTTCATAGGTCTTGTTAATTTTTATTCGCCAGTTTTTTCCCGCAGTGCATATTTTCTTGCGATAAATGAACACTGCCGGACTTGATCCATCATACACAACAGTTTCATGGCATTTATGTGAAATACTGAGCAGTGTTTTAACCCCCTTAGCGTATTTTGTTTTAATTGTACAACCTTCGCACAGCATTACCAATGATGCGCGTGAAGACGAGATGGAGGACAACATGGGCCAGGTGAACACCATGATTGGCAACCTGCGCAACATGGCTATTGATATGGGCTCTGAAATCGAAAACCAGAACAGACAAATCACCAGAATCAACGCCAAGGTATGATAACTATAGCCAGACACTGTACACACGCAGCACAACAAAATACTTTTTTTTCTCTTTCAGCTTTAACCAAACATACTGACATGTTGTAAAAGAAAACCAGGAATGAGTGTTGTTTGCGTGGAAATGAATGATGTAGGAACACCAACAAGTACTGTATTTCTAAGACGTCTATAGTGGCGAATTATTCATTTCTGAGACGTCTATAGTGGCGAATTATTTATTTCCAAGACGTCTATAGTGGCGAATTATTGATTTCCAAGACGTCTATAGTGGCGAATTATTTATTTCCAAGACGTCTATAGTGGCGAATTATTTATTTCCAAGACGTCTATAGTGGCGAATTATTTATTTCCAAGACGTCTATAGTGGCGAACTATTTATAACGTGAAGTGTTCACTTTAAGATTTGGATTATGGAACATGTTTGGGAAATTGTTATACCTAAGGGATATGTATAGAGAGTATTAATATTACTAGTTTATTCTGAAGGGTAAATGGTTACTAAAGATTAAATGTTGAGTGAAAAGTTCATTTAAGAAACGTGAAACCTTAAAATGCAACCTTCAAAATTTGTAATTGTTTATTTCTGCTTATAAATTGGTAGAGCTATATTTAAACATGGGAAAGAGGAATTAAAAAGTCTGACCACTGTCAATGCCAAAATTATCTGTAGACATTCTTTCTATTATTAGCATTGTTGCGATGTGAGCCACCAAGCAAAAAAAAAAAATTTTTTTCCCCATAAAATATGTGAATTCCAAAATAATGCAAGAAAGTGAAAATATTTGTTGGTCTGATAGGTGTTGCGATCATCATATAATGATGGGAAACCAGAAGCGTAATTATTTATGACTCCAAATGTGTGACCTTTTGTGGCTGTTGAAAGGCACCACTGAGCTATTAGCCATGTTTATAATGTCAGCATTCAAACATTGGCACAAAATCTAAATCATTTGACGACTGTGTATCGTAAGATCAATATGTCGCAACTTCAGCACTTGTGTTTACTCTTAACCTTTAAAGTGCCTTTCCCATTAAAGTTGTATATAGCATTTTGTCAGCACACCTGAATGTGCCTGTTTATAACTCATTCTTGCTTGGATATTGCTGAATATTGATCCATAATAACAATCTTGGCTTCCTTTATAATAATGAGGAAACGGAGCCAAGACAAACAGTTGACGTCCATAACCTGCCAATCATCTGTAAGGAACGGCGATTTAAATAATAATTAATTTCCCGTTTCGTGGTTAGTTTTGGAATTGGAAAAATCATAAAAAAATTAGTTGCCATAAATGGATCATAACTGCAGTACCAAAGTTGATAACATTGTTGAAGGATTCATAAAGACATTTTGAGTGCACTTCAAGTGCACTTATAAAGTGCACTTGAAAGCATGATTGCCAGTGTTAATCTAATCCATTTTATTTACTTAACAGGTGAAATGTGCTAGTGTTTATGGGTGCCTCCAGAACCCAGCCCAAGTGTGGTCACTAATATGTCTTTGTCATTTACTCCTAACTATTTACACACAAAAACACACGCTATAAATATTAATGCTTAAGCCAATATTTTTAGTTTGTTTTATTTCATATATATTATACAAATTTTGACCAAAATTCAATAGAAGGTTCCCCACTTTTTGGTTAATGTAATTTTGATTTCATTAATGTGTCATGGTTTTATGTAACCTTTGTTTTTGTTTTTCTCGTTATAGGCAACTTCCAACGTCACTCATGTTGCAGAAGCCAATGAGAAAGCTGGCAAACTTCTTAAATCATAAATCCAGAGATATGCCTTTTCTTCTCATGACTTTTTAAGTTGAAATAAATGGAGGTACTTTTAAAGAAGTAATATCAAGTTGGTAATTTTAAGTAGAAAATAATATCTCTGCAAGGCTAATATGCAAAGCTGTAGTATATGCTTGAAATTTCTATATCAAGAGGTAGCTTTTTAATTGAGCTTGATAGTGTGATTTATAATGCTGTCTCGGCTACCTGGTCCAGTCTTTACGTCTGCCTTCACATAAACTGGCTTTGCTGGTGACAGTTTTCCCGCTCACGTACTACCTCATTGCTCTCACACCTTGTGTCGACACCACAGTATTTACCTATTACTTTTGTTCTCTTTCAAATGTTGAATTGTGGTTGACATCACAGGCATCGTCTTGCGTCTTTTTGCATATTAGGGTGTTAAGAATGTCCAGGTGAAGGAATGACTGTTGTGACTGGGAGGCCTTCAGAGTGCTAGTCTTGGCTCCACCCATAACGTTAATAATTTTATGGTCAACTGTTCTACAATTAATGGTCATATCTGCAGACTTTTCTCGTAACTTGCCTGTAAAACATCACACTTTTTTACCCTTACTGTCTTCTTACCGACTATTGGATCTCTAAAACTGTTTCCACTATTTCTTTGCAGCTTGGTAGAGCAGTTTTGCATATGCCCCTCTCAAGGTGAAATCTGTGCCCACTTTCATACTAAATACCTGTCATTCACCTTGAATTTTGAGTCGCCAAGTTACCGTTTGACTCAAGATGTGTAAATCATCTGTCGATAGATTAATGTTCCGATTTTTAAGTAAAGCATGCGAGAATGTTAAACAACAATGAGGAGGAGGAGGTTAGACCTGGGTGGAGAGACTTGTACATAACGGGTGTTGACGAGAAGTGTTACTGTGAACTTGTGTGGTTGGTATGGGGGGCAGATAGTGTGAGGTCAAGTGTCGACTCCATGGAAGAGGCGAGCACATCACTTTGTGTCGAGTCTAAAATGAGTGACACGTTAGATGTTTATGTTGGTGTATGCCAAGGTTGTGTTGCCACACTGGTGGTTCAATACACGTGGATGTGGTAATAAGGGAGGTAGAGGTAAGAATATTATATATGGGTGTATAGACCTAATGTAATATAGCTCTATATGTAGGTAATTAATGTAATTCACTTTGTAGTTTATTCAGTAGATCTTTTATAAAAGGTAGACCTAGGTAGATTAGAAATCTAGGTGGACTACTTAAAAATTGTATTGATAATACTAGACTATTAAAAGTAGACGTTGACAAAAGTGAAGGAAATCTATTATGAAATAGATGTGAAGAAAAAAGTGATAGAAGAGGTTCATGAGGTTAAATACCTTGGGAAATGGGATTTGGTAAAGAGAAGCATTTCTCCACTCACAGTCGAGTGCTTGTGCAGTGAACCTTTTCCCGGTTACGAAACCCAAAAGAGGAATAGGTGCAGCCGGAGGTTTGCTTAAGAGTGGTGATTGCAGGTGTGATTTCTAGGCAATGTTGTCATCAGTGAAAAAGAGAAGAGTAGAAAAAATAATCTTAGATGCATATGTAGTGTTAAAAGGGGAGGGGAAACAGATAATGGGGAGAGAAGGAAGGGGGAGTGTGGGAGGGGAACAGAACGGAACTATCGGGGGGGGAAACCTCAAGCCATTAGACTATATAACGCTTGAATGGGGTAGGAGGGGGTCGATATAGTGCAATTGTCAATAAACCACAATATTGAGAAAAGCAGTGAAGATATGGTTAAGGCATGTTGAATGAATAGATGGGGTGTACTCACCCAGTTGTGTTTGCGGGGGTTGAGCTCTGGCTCTTTGGTCCTGCCTCGGTGTGTGTGTGTGTGTGTGTTCGTTCTAAGTTATGCAGGGTGTATGATAATTTGAGGTTTTGCATACACCTGGTTTTACAAAGCAGTGTGGTGCTGTTGTGGATAACTGCTGGAGTGTGGAGGTGAAAGTTGTTTATATATTGTAACATGAATGATAGAATGATATATTTTTAACGTATTTAATATCGATAACTACGTTGCAATTTTACTCGGCTTTACAGGGAAGGCCCCGTCAGGAGCTTCCATGTGCTTGTATACTGGTATCATGCCATAGTTCCAACACTCACACTTGTAACATAACAGAAAAAGATAGAAAAATGGAAGATAAAAAAACACAGTACAGAAGAGTGAGGTGGAAGGGAGGAGTGAGGACGAGTGGTCAATAGAAAGGGAAAGTGTGGAATAGGAGAAAATGAGAAAAAGTAAATTGGATAAGAGGTAGATAAAGGGTTGAAGAGTAGAAAGTGCTAGAAGGAAGGAAGAAAGGAGAAGGGGGGGCTGAAGGAAAGAGGTAGAAAAGTTCTAAGAAGACAAGAAGAAAGAGATAAAAAGTGCAAGGAAGGAGTTGCCACCACCATTCCAGAGTATTTATAAGAGAAGGAATAGAACTTGTCTGTACCACAAAGTTATCTGACGTCATCAAGTTTCAACTGCAAAACCTGTAAATCATATAGTCTAGAATCTTAAGTCATAATCTTTAGCTAGTCCACTTCAGAGTGCTCTCCACTCTAGCTTTCACTGTATCATAGACCTGAAATCAAGATCTAGGGATCAGAATTAAAGACAATTTAAAAGTAAGCTAATAAGTTATGTATTTGGTATTATATATTCACTCACATGGGTATCATAATTCATAACCATTTCACTTGATATTCAAATGTTAACATTAATTCAGAATTTGAGAGCAACTATGGCTGACTGCTCCTGAAAATCACACAACATTCAGCTTTGGAAAATACCAAATACATTAACCTTACAATTCAACTTGCCAAAGTATAAGATGGTTAGAGAGGAGAGAAGGGGGGTGGTACGGCTGACAGTCAAAGTCCCCACCGGCCCAGGGGCAGGCCTATGTAAACCTAGTCTGGGCTGCTGGAAAAACACTGGTGTAGAGAGACTTCTCTCTTTCTCAAATGTACAATTCCTCGGGTATTTAAGGGAAAACCAGGAACTAAACTCTGCCTACCAGGAGATAGCCTCTACCACACCTAGATGGCAGCTTGTTTGATGGAAAGAACACGGCCACCCGTCTGCAATTATCGGCTTAGCAGAGAGTGAGGTCACCTGATGCGACCTGATCTCTACTCAACCCGTGACAATTAACACTGGAAAAGTGTAACTTTTAAAATGCTAAGGGCCGACAGCCTGGCTCCGCCAGTATCTTGCGTACCGAGTCGTTATATGTGAAATATTAAATACAACCATTTATGGAGCTACACACTGACCTACTAAGTGCAGTACTAGAATGTCAGATAATGTAAAGCAACTGACTGCTGCATGGAAAAAAAATACTGTAATGAAAATGAAAACGAAAACAAGGCATTTGATAGCTTGCCATGAATGAACAACTCCTTTTCCCCAACTTGTCTGACCACCTTTAAATGGCGGCCCCGTGTCTCGGCCTGTCGCCTATGACCTTCACTCTTCTGATATTGCCTGGATTAGCCACACTTTGCTGGAATCCAGATGCCATTTTTGGCGCATAAGTGGTGTTGGCAATCTGTGAACTTATATTGTGCATGGGACCATTTCTTTGTTTTTGTTCTTTTTTCATTTCATGTTTTATACCAACTATCTTGCATGTTCCCAGTGTACTCTAGACATTAGGCCTCAGAGGTGTGTGCTTATGGGCCCCAGTGCCTGTGGGTCGTACCGTGGCACAGACTGTTTGTCCTGGGTTCGTACTTGTTTGTCCTGCTGCCAAGTTTTCTGGGGGAGCTGAAAGGTGGCTTCCTGTTGCTAGTCATGCCAAGATACCACCATACGTATAAGTTACATCGGCCCTAGGAGTCCTCGGTATCTTAGTAGAGACTAGAGGCCAAAACATGCCCCCCCCCCCCCCCCCCCCCTTCCTCACAGATGTACAGGGAGCAGGGAATTCATGAGCCTCTTAGAGGCACAGGGAATAATGAAGAAACAAACCCTCAGAAAGGAAACGCAGCAAAATACACATGCAAGGTTCACTGTAGTGAACTTGTATTAGTGTATTGCAAGCCCTTTGTAGTCCTGTTGGTAGTGTGTGTGTGCCTGGGGAGTCCAGGGATCCTATCACATAATCTCAATATTTAAAACGCCTCCAAAGAATACCTGATCATCCTGGCAGTGATTCATGCGCCTGACATCAAGCAGTGGTGTCTAACAGCCTGTTTGACCAGACCACCAACCAGGAGGCCTGGTTAGAGACCAGGCCGCGGGACATTGATCCTCGGAACCACCTCAAGGTAACCTTCACGGAAAGGTAACCAACAATGCAGCAAACAACTCGGCAAACATTCCACCAAGTAAAGTCTAGCCCCATTATAGTCGTCAACCACCAGGTGACAGCAACTACCACCTCCGCATATCAATAGTGTCGAGTCCTTTGCCTGATGTTCTGTATATCTGACCAGCTTCTGGAGTCGTAAGCTCTTCGCGTCCCAGATTTTCTAGGTAAATGTTGGCTATCCTTTGAACTCGTGGTGGGGTGGGCTTATTTACAAACTATGAAACAAATATTGTTTCAATATTTATTGTTTGCTTCATGTGTGTTTTTTACATGCCTCACTGGTTGTGTGGACTTTTGTAAACTGTTCCTCTTGAGCTGCATGTGGTTAATTAGGGCAGCCCTTCTGCAGGTGCTCATTGATGTTGTCCCTTTCCTGCCAAGGATGCTTCTCTGGTGGGGTTGGGTGTTTGTTCTATAGAGGCCAATATCCTGTGGAGGCCTTGCCCAGAGTAGTGCTAGAGTCCTTAGTCTGTGGAAACCCAACAAACCTTCAGGGTTTGGGTTCCCCATCTCTCTGATGGACGTCTTGTTGGGTTCCCCATCTCTTTGATGCATGTCCCAGTTGTTCTGTTCCTGTGCATGACTTGTCTGCCCAAGTGTTTTCTTGTCTCATGTTTAGTTCTTTTCCTTCCGGGTCCAGCTTTTTGCATCACTGCTTAATCCCAGGGCCTCTTCATGTAGCACTTATTTTTTTTGTCCCCCTTTTTTTGGTTAGTGTTCCTGGACCTCTG